TAGCTGAACGATGGCGCACGCTTGCAACTCATGAATAAACTACTTCCATAGCTTCTTCCAGAAGTTTGGCAGATGCAGATTTGACGCTGTTTCATTGCATATACCGATGTACAACTTATCGTAATGGGCCTCACTAACCTACATTATCTTCAAGTTTTTTCTTTTTATTTGAAAATTAGTTATCCTATTCCAGGTGGTTAAGTAATTATAACGTTTGTGAAAAGCTGTACTTTACTATAAATTGTCTGATAAACCTTATGAATGTTGGTAATGTTCCAAAAAGGACTTCCTCTTTGTCTTAGTCCCCTGACATTGTTTTTTCATTGTTATTACAACGATTTATATTCCGTTTGTTTAGACAACAGCTTGTTCGATACTTCAAGACATCAACGTATCGAATGAATTACATGGAAACACCAACTGGTTTAAAAATGGTTATGAACACCGATCCATCAGCAGTTGGAATACCGGAACTTATACGGGCAATCTATCAGGTTCGTCCTAGTGGTAACTTATTCCTATTCTTGTACCTTGTTTGTATTGTACATAATCAGTTTTTTTTTCTCTTTACTAATAATTATCTTCGATTTCTGTCTTTTGATTAACTTCATCTGTATTTCAGTCCGAAAAATTTGCTTTATTCATGTAACCTTTTCCTTGTGAACGCTATCACGTTTGCCGTAATGTATCTCTTGACCTCGAAAACTGTTTTCTTATTTTGCAACCTTTTTATACCGCTAAGCCTTTTCTACTTGGTTCCATTTACATTCACATTTCGTGTACAACTTATTTTAGCCTGTTTTATGTTTCCTAGAAATGCTGGAACTCGTTTCAACTAAACTATGAAATTCTGATTTAGCGCGCGTCTCTACATATTCCTCTGAATGAACTTATTAGTTCCGCTACAGCTGTTTCCATTTCAGATTTATGTGGACACCGTAATGAAAAATCCGTTGATTGATACTTCCACACAAATCTCCAGTGATCTCTTTGCAAGTCGGGTTGATCAAATCGTTTGTGGTCACTCATCCTACATTTGAAACCTGGTGTTTAGTGCATATTGTCTGTACAGGTATAAATTATTGCTTGAGATGATTTACTTTTTTTGTATTCTAGATTCTGTTTATAGTACACTTTATTCGCTTCCTTTGTTAGAATTGCACGACTGTCAAAAAACCTTCATTAAGCTCTGAAGAAAAGACAGAAATAAATGCTATGTGGATTATTGCATAGCTGTTAAACAACAAGATGGGGAATGACAATT